GGCTAGCCTGGTCTACATAGTGAGTTCCAGGCCAGCTAGGGCTACAGAGAAACCCTGTCTCAAAAAAGACAAAAATAAATAATTTTTAAAAGTTTAAATATATATATATATACATATACATAAATATCTATAAAAATTACTTATGGGAGGCCGGGCATGGTGGCACAGACCTTAAATCCCAGCACTTCGGAGGCAGAGGCAAGCGGATCTTTGTGAGTTCGAGGCCAGCCTGGTCTACATAGTGAGTTCCAGGACAGCTGGAGCTACAGGGAGACCCTGTCTCAGAAAGACAAAAAAAAAAAAAAATTTATTTATGGGGCTGGAGAGGTGGCTCAGGGGATAACAGTATTTGCTGTTCTTCCAGAGGGTCTGGGTTCAACTACCAGCACCTACATGGTGGCTCTGTCATCTTCTTCTGGCCTTCCTGGGCACCACACACACACATACACACAGAAATAAACATACTGGCAGAGACTGGCAAATTGCCAGCCTGGTCTACAGAACAAGTTCCAGGCCAGTCAGGGCAAAATAGTAAGACCCTTTCTCAGAAAGAAAAAAGTAATAGGGCTTCACTATGCAGACCCATACCTGCTCTTTCTCTCTTTTAAAAATGAGAGAGAGAGAGAGAGACAGAGACAGAGAGACAGAGACAGAGAGAGACAGACAGAGAGAGACAGACAGAGAGAGAGAGAAATGAGCTGCATGTGCTTAAGTGTCCACAGAGGCTAGAAGAGAGTATTGAATTTCCTGGGGCTGGAGATACAGTTATGAGCCGCACACTGTGGGTGCTGAGAACAAAACTGAGGTCTTTCTTTTTCAGACAGAGTCTCACTGAATCCCAAGTTGGTCTTGAACTTGCTATTAGCTGAGGATATCCTTGAACTCTTGGTCCTCCTGCTTCACCTCCTAAGTTGTTGTTGACGACTATGCAGAGTTTATTTAGTCCTGGGGATGGAATCCAGGCCTTCATGCATGCTAGGTAAGCATTCTCCCAAATGAGCTATATCTCCAGCCTATTTTTTAAAAATATTTTATTTAAGCCGGGCATGGTGGCGCACGCCTTTAGTCCCAGCACTCGGGAGGCAGAGGCAGGCAGATCTCTGTGAGTTCAAGTCCAGCCTGGTCTACATAGTGAGTTCCAGGACAGCTGGGGCTACAGGGAGACCCTGTCTTAAAATGACAAAAAAAAAAAAAAAAAAAAAAAAAAAATTTAAATTAATTATTTTTTCCCTTCTTTTTTTTGAGACAGGGTCTCCCTCCCAAGAGCTGGGATCAAAGGTGTGCACCACCACGCCTGGCTTTTATTTATTATCTTTATTTTTTATGTGTATTCGTGTATTGCCTGCATGTAGGTAAGTGCACCCGGTGTCATGCAATGCCCTCGGAGGACAGAAGGGGCTGTCAGATCCCCTGAAACTGGAGTTATAGACAGTTGTTAGCTGCCATGTGCATGCTGGGATTCAAATCCGGGTCTTCTGCAAGAACAGCCAGTGTTCTTAACCGCTGAGCCATCTCTCCAGCCCCTATCTCTAGCCTATTAAAGTCTTATGAAAACCGAGTCACCCTAGTTGAAAGGAGGTGTCAGATCTGGAGGCTATCTTTGTGTCCTTGCTTTCTCATGTTGTCTGAGGGGTTTCCAGAGCTATTTGGGGCCCATACTTTCCTCATGGCTCTTGGGGCTCTTAATTCTAGGGTAGGCAAAGCCACAGAAGGGGGACTTCTGTAGACATAGAAGGGCATAAACTGGGTGGGGGGCAGGGGGGAGGTGTCTGTGGTTGTTTTTGAGATAGGTTGAACTAAAACTCACTAAGTATCCCAGGCTGGCCATGAACTTGTGGTCTTCCTTCTGCCTCAGCCACTGAGTATCAGGTTACAGGCATGAGCCACCACATCCAGCTTATAAACATTACAATATGCCTTTAAATTTTTTAGTAATGGGGCTGGAGAGATGGCTCAGCAGTTAAGAGCACTGACTGCTCTTACAGGCGAACTGGGTTTGATTCCCAGCACCCACATGGTAGCTAACAGCCATCTGTAACTCCAGTTCAGGGGAATCCGATGCCTTCTTCTGCCCTCCTTGGGCACTGCACAACACGGGTACACTTACACACATGCAAACATAACACTCATACACATAAAATAAAAAAAATTAAATTTAAAAAATAATATCAATTCTTTTGTACTGACATGCTGTGGGGCTTAAGGAAAGTGTGGTGACTTGCCCAAAGTATTGAAACTTCATCCCCTTAAAGAAGAAAAGCATGTTTGTTTCAAAAGGTCATGATGTAAATGAAATATGTAGTACTAGGGCAGTATCTGACATGGTAGGGACAATCACCAAGCATCTGGAGAAAGGACACATATATTCATGGAGCTTCTGCTTTATGCCAGGCACTCTGCTAGGTTTCTTCACAAGGCTATGAAGTCAACTACATAAGCCAAAATTCAGGGGCTGGAGAGATGGCTCAGCAGTTAAGAGCACTGACTGCTCTTGCAGAGGACCCAGGTTCAATTCCCAGCACCCACATGTGGCTAGGAACCATCCTTAACTCCAGTTCCAAGGGAATCTGAAGCCCTCTTCTGACCTCTGAGGCATTGCACAACACGGGTGCACTCACATGCATGCAGGCAATACACTTATACACGTTAAAAAAAAAAAAGAAAGCCCAAATTCAATAAAGTCAGGCAGGCAGCACGCAGTGGAACCAAAAGTGTGAGAGCATCACTTAGCTGTGTGGTTGATGCACGTCTATAATCTCAGCACTTGGGAGGCAGAGGCAGGAGAATCATAATTCTGAGGCAAGTCTGAACAACACAATGAGACCCTGACTCAAAAACAACTAACAAGGGGACATTGAAATGACTCCTTGGGTAAGGGCACTTGCTACCAAGCCTGACAATCTGAGTTCAATCCTTGGAATCCACATGGTGGAAGGAGAGAACCAACTCCTGAAAGTTGTCTTTTGACCATATGCATGCTCTGATTTGAGTGCCCACACACATACACACTGCACACATACACAAATTAAATGTAATAAAAAATTTTAAACCCAAACAAAAAGAAAACAAACAACAAAAACCTACCACCACTACCAATAAATAAATAAATCCTTTCGAAACAAAAAAAAGTAACACGTGCCGGGCATGGTGGCACACACCTTTAATCCCAGCACTTGGGAGGCAGAGGCAGGCGGATCTCTGTGAGTTCAAGGCCAGCCTGGTCTACATAGCAAGCTCCAGGTCAGCTGGGGCTCCAGGAAGACCCTGCCTCAAAAACACCAAAAACAAAACAAAACAAAACAAAAACGTAACACTTGGAACAGCAAAATGAACCTTCTTGTGCTGCAGTACCAGACTGCCAGGCTAACCTTAGTATCTGGCACATACACATAACCAACCCACTGTGCCCCTGCAATTGAGACCAGGGTACAAAGAGAGACACAGGTGCTCGCCCTCACTGACGAGATGTTTCAGAATCCCTCTGCAAAGCGCAGACCCCACCACCAAGTCCCTCCAAGCCAGAGACCCACCTGCTGATGCCAAGGTGAAGTAGTAGAGAAGGGAGCCACACTGGTTGAGCAGAAAGGGCATCAGGTACTGGAAACAGGAGAAACCCATGATCAGTGTGACTGAACTCCTGGCATATGTCTTACCCAGGAGGGATGATTATAAATGCCTAGGGAACACTATGTACTCTGAGGACCCTTCAGGACAAAGACAGAAACAAACTGAATATATACCCTTACCCTAAATGCCCATTTCTTCCGCTTGGCTAGTTCCCATCCTCCTTACAGTCTGCAATATCACCCCTTCCAAGAAGCCTACTCCAAGTCCTTGGGCTCCAACTTCCTCCTCTGAACTCACACAGCTTTATCTGCACATCTGTCTTCCTTCTGAGCCCTGAAAGGCCACTGTGTCCATGTCCTGCCTATTCAGCAACGTTACATTGGCAGCCACGGGGTTGGACACAGCTCTCTATAGCTTCCCTCATCTTCAACCCCAGGGTAAGTTGAGTCCCCAAGAAGGCTTCGGAAATGCTTGCAACGGTTATATAATTGGCATGATCACAATAATAAAATAATAATAGCCATAGGTTGAGCATGTATGCTGTACTAGGCCCCATGCTGTGTTTTATGTGTCTCATATCAATCTTACATTAGCTCTACATAGAGATTATTAGAATTTCCCTTTTACTGATGATGAAACTGAGGCTCACAGAGGACAACAGACTCCTCCAAGGGCTTCGAGTGAGTAGGAGGTGGGTGGGATACAGTGACCAAATGCTTAGCGGCTACTCCAAGAAAGCACAGGTTCACAGACACACCTCAGTATTCAAGAAAAGAGTCTTCATTTCCTGCAGCAACTGCCGGGCCCAGGTCCGTTCATGCACCTGCTGCAGGCTGGCGGAGGCCCGCTTCAGAAGTGGCTGCGTGCCACCCCACAGAGCAGCCACCAGCACCAGAGCCAGCACCTGCCCTGAAAGCAAAGGATAAGCGTCAAGTCACCCAGCGACCTCCCCGGGTCGGGTCCCCCTCCCCTGCGCCCCCTCTCCAGGTCTCCTCCCCAGCCCCGCTCCTCAGCCCCTCTCCCTGGGTCCCTTCCCCGAATCCCCTCCCCAGCCACCGCGAGCACCTCCCTTCGTCGCTCTCCGACGCCCGGCTGCCCTTGGCGGGGAGGACCAGTCTCGCAGGCAGGAGAAGTGGATTCGGGGAACCCGGCCCAAAGGCTCAGCAAAGCAGGGTTCGGGGGAGGTTGGGGGCGAGGGGGCGTGGGAAAACTCAGAAGTAGGGTCTGCACGCCCAGGGGGCGGAGCCAGCTACCCACCCAGAGACGCCGCCATGGCAACGCCAGGCTCTTTTATTTCCGGAAATCAGGGGGCGGAGTCCTAGCGCCCGGAAGTGGCTTCAAGGCTTCTTCCGGTCCTACTCACATTGCCTCTCTTCACGTCTCCGCCGCGATGGTGAGTTACAGGATGGGGTGCTGCGGTGGGGGTCTTTGGCGGGGCTGGGAGCGCGGTTCCCCGCACTGACACTCGTGTTCCGTGCGCACAGAAGCCGATCCTGCTGCAGGGCCATGAACGGTCCATCACGCAGATCAAGTACAACCGCGAGGGAGACCTCCTCTTCACTGTGGCCAAAGACCCGGTGAGCAGCCGCGCCTGGGCGGGCGGGACGGGCCACGGGGCCCGGAAAGGGCGGGGAAGAATGGCGGTATGCCGTGACGGGCAGGGGGCTCCGGGACGTACTGAGGGGCCCGGGACCCGGGAGTGCATCATACCCCGACGGTGGATGACCTAGCTTTGCAGCCGACGAGGGATCCCACTCTGGAAAACAAGGAAAGCTATCCATTCGCATTCAGTTAGCGACAGCTTTCAGTCAGGGGAGGTCTGAAAGAAGTGATGGTTGGTAGGAAGACTACCCAGAAGAAGAAAAGCAAGAGGCTCTTGTGGAAGGGGACTGGGACTTGGGACCGGGACCAGGTCAGCTGTGGTGAGCGGGAAGAACCAAACCGTTCAATAGAAGAGACCACTTCTAGAGTATAAAGTTGGTCCATGGGCAGCCAGCTGTGACATCATGGGAAACTTGGAGTTGTAGTTAAAGTGATTGAGTGCTCAGCGTGTTCTTGGCTCAGGTTCCATTTCCAGTACCAAAAAAGAAAAGGGAGGAAAGAAGGAAAAGGTAAGGGACTTAACGAAGGTGCCCCTAGACTTAGTCACATCAGTCCCTGGGTGCTTCTCTGCACAGTCCCTCAGGGGATTTTTGAGGCATCTGCAGAAGGAGACGGTTACCTAATGGTTAACTAATGGGGAGTCAGAAGTCAGACTTGGTGTGAATCCCAACTCCTGCATGTGCTAGCATGTGTGACTTTGAGCATGACATTTAACCTTCCTAAACTACAATTTTCCCTTTTTATAAAACATAGGTACTTTAATTACCTCCTTCAATAAAATTAGGTCATTCTTGTAAGGAGTCTGTCACTGCTTCATGTTAATCACTTACATTTTAAGTTTCTTACATGTCACTTCATTGGTGCCTTACAGCTACCCTTTGAAGAAAGCTTTTATTTTAGACTTTGTTTTTATACAGCTGTGTACCATCACATACAGCTTGCCCTAGCCCTTTTTGTTGTTGTTGTTCTTTTTGAGACAGGGTCTCCCTGTAGCTGTAGCTGGCCAGGAATTCACTATGTAGACCAGGCTGGCCTGGAACTCACAGAGATCCACCTGCCTCTGTCTCCTGAGTGCTGGGACTAAAGGCCACCATGCTCGTCCATCCTAAGCTTTTTAAAGATGAGAAGGCTAGGAGCTGGAGAGATGGCTTAGCAGTTAAGAGCACTGGTCCTCTCTTACAGAGGACCTGATTTCAATTCCCAGCACCGACATGGCAGCTAATAGCCATCTGTAACTCTAGTTCCAGGAGAATCTAGTGCCATCTTTTGATCTCTGTGGGCATTGCATGACATGGTTGCACTTACACACAGCAGGGAATACACTCATACACATTAAATAAAAATAATAGTGCACACCTTTAATCCCAGCACTTGAGAGGGAGAGGCAGGTGGGTCTCTGTGATTTCAAGGCCAGTCTGGTCTACAAAGTGAGTTCCAGGCCAGTGGGGGCTACAGGGAGACCCTGTCTCCAAAAAACTGAAAATAATAATAATAAATAAATAAAATAGGGAAAAAAAGATGAGAAAGCTACCCAGGTGTGGTGGTACATGACTTTAATCCCAGCAGGGTCAGAGGCAAGTTGCTCTCTGTGAGATCAGGTCAGCCCGGTCTACAAAGTGAGTTCTAGACCAACTGGGGCTGCAGGAAGACCTGTCTCAAAAAATACCATAAATAAATAAACAAGCAAATAAATAAATAAGGGTAAGCTAAAGCACCCTCAAATAGAGTGAGCTAGTGACAAGCAAAGTAGGTCCTGGAATCCCTACTTCCGTATCAACTGTTCCCACTTGGGCAGGACACCAAAGTTACTATTTTTCTGTATTGGAGCTCAACTTGGCCTTTTATTCTTTGAATAGATTCTGGGTCCAGCCAAGTGGAACTGACAAATGAGGGTACTGTTTATTACAAGCCCGGCTCCCCTCCGCTTACTTTCAGGAATTAGGAAAATCCTGGAGTTGATCTTTTTTATCAGCTGTTCTGCCTAAGAAATGAGCAGAAGGCAGATGGTCTGGCTAGAGTCTACAGAGGATTCCTAGGGCTAAATAGGAAGCTGTTGCTTTTCCTGGAATTTCTGCCATCCTGTCATTTTACTCCTCCAGATTGTCAATGTGTGGTACTCTGTGAATGGCGAAAGGCTGGGCACGTACATGGGCCATACTGGAGCTGTATGGTGTGTGGATGCTGACTGTATCCTTTTGTTTGGAGTCTGGGATCCAGGGTCTGCTGGCAATGGAGACACTGATTTGGAAGTTGGGAGTTTGGGGTGCTGTCTAGAAAATAAAGCTGTGCTGTCTAGAAAATAATGCTGCCCACTTCTAGTCTCTTCATTGGTTAGAGAAACAGGACAAGTTAAAGTTTTGGATGAGAACCTTAGAATGCTCTGTGGTTAAGAGTAAAAACATGCTCTATGGGGCTGAACTGGGAGATAATTGGATGGCTTCCAAGAGGACAAGGGTGGATTTAGTCATGTTTCTTTCTTTTTGGTGTTTTTTTGTTTGTTTTGAGACGGTGTTTCACTATGTAGCCCTGGCTGGCCTGGAACTTGCTATGTGTAGAGCAAGTGGGTCTCCAACCCACAGGGATCCACTTTCCTCTGCCTTCTAAGTGCTGGATTAAAGGCATGTACCACCATGACAGCCTTTTGTCATGCTTTGACTTTAGTCATGTTGTAGACAGCCTTTTGTGTTGTGTATTTGTGGTATATGCAGACACAGGCACCTTTGGAGGCCAGGGGTCAGCATCATGTCTTCAATTATTCTCCCACTTTCTTTTCCTTTTTTAATTAATTTATTTTTATTTTATGTGTATGAGTGTTTGGGCTGCATGTATTTAAGTGTACCCATGTCATGCAAAGCTTATGGAGGCCAGAAGAGGGCATTGGGTCCTTTGGATCTGGAGTTACAGATGGTTGCTAGCCACAGTACAGTGTGGGTGCTGGGAATCGAACCCAGGTCCTCTGGAAGAGCAGCCAGTGGTCTTAACCGCCGAGCCATCTCTCTAGTGCCTCCACCTTATTTTCTGAGACAAGATCATGCAGTGAGCCCCTGAGATCCTCCATATCTTCATTTCTCAGCACTAGGATTTTAGGTGCCTGCTGCCACACTTGGCTCTCTATGTGGGTACTGAGGATCCAAACTCAGGTCCTCATGTGTGCACAGGAAGCACTTTACTCACTGAGCTATCTTCCCAGCCCTAGTCATGTTTCTTAACATCCTCTTCAGGGGATACCAAGCATGTCCTTACTGGCTCAGCTGACAATAGCTGTCGACTCTGGGACTGTGAAACAGGTAAGCCCAGGCCATTCACCTTTTCAGCAAAAATTGACTGACTACAGTATACCTGCCTAAGCAAATAAGGTTCTAGAAAAATAGAGATAAGTTCAAAGGTGTTTCCCATTCTAGAGAATACAGTAAGGAAATTAGATGGGAAAAGAAGCTTTACATTAATAAGCCATGAATGAAAGCATGGAGCGGGTCATATCTAGGTCATCTGATTGGGTTAGAGTGCCTGGCTTCTGGGAGTGAGGCCAGAACAGGCCTTGAGTATGGCAGTGAACTTGGTTTCAGATTCAGGCAGCGGGAGATCATTGCCTTCTGTCTTGTACCTCCTGATGATCCCAGTGGTGCCAGTGGACCCTCCCAATCCAGTGCCCACACAAATGGTCCTAGTTAAACTAAATGAGTCAGAGACTAAAACTTAAAAGTCATGAACCTGGGAAAGGACTGATAGTGACAGGGTGGTGGCGATGGGGTGGTAGTGACTAGGACAGGAGGGAGAATAAAGAGGATGAAAAGAGTGATGAGAATATCTTATATACATGTGTGAAATTGTCAAATAGCAAAATTTTAAAACATTTTTAGGGAAAAAAAAAAAAAAAAAAAAACACCAATTAGGTTTAAGTTCCTTTAAAAACAGTAATTTAGCCCAGTGTGGTGGTACACGCCTTTAATCCCAGCACTTGGGAAGCAGAGGCAGAGGAGCTCTGTGAGTTCAAGGCCAGCCTGGTCTACATTCTGAGTTCCAGGCCAGCTGGGGCTACAGGGAGACCCTGTCTCAAAAAGACCAAAAAAAAAAAAACCCCATTTTCTTCTGCAAGACTTGGCACACTGAGTCTGATGAACAGGGAAAATGAATGACTGGTCAGTTTAACAGGGTCCAAGCATGGAAGAGCTGGCAGTGAGAGCAGTGAAAACACTCCATTAAATGACTGGTTAGTAAGTGATTCCTGGGCATTCACTTCTGTGCTGGCACTGGGGATACACAGAGAAATCATACCAGGTCCATGCTGTAGAGAAACCAGGTGTGAGGGGAGACAGGTAGGTTAGAACCCACTGTGAACGGTACCACTTGAGCAGGATGCATGAGAAAGAACTGTGGGAAGGAAAGATGGCCAAAGTGCAGAGGTAGGAAGGGGAGTAGCAAGCTGCAGTCAGTCACCAGCGCGGGAGACGCTGAGACTTGATCGGTGAGTGTAGAGCATCCTCCCTGGGGTAGTGTTAGACCAGAGTAACCCAGACTCTGCCTGTCTCTAGGGAAGCAGCTGGCTCTACTCAAGACCAACTCTGCAGTCCGGACCTGTGGCTTTGACTTTGGCGGCAACATCATCATGTTCTCCACAGACAAGCAGATGGGCTACCAGTGTTTCGTGAGCTTCTTTGACCTGCGGGATCCAAGCCAGATTGGTAAGGGCTAGGACCAGGGGTTTGCGGTGAAAGATGTTTAGAGCCCAGGGCCTGACCTCTGTTGCCTGACACAGACAGCAATGAACCCTACATGAAGATCCCCTGCAATGACTCCAAGATTACCAGTGCTGTTTGGGGACCACTGGGAGAGTGCATCATCGCAGGCCATGAGAGTGGAGAGCTCAACCAGTATAGTGCCAAGGTAAGGGGCCAAGTGGGACCAA